ACTCAAAGGGAATTTGTTCAATTGCCCTCAAATTTGGACAGTAGCTAGTTTAACATATGAACTACAAAAGCATGTCTGGGAATTGTTAATTTTGAAATACCTTTTCTTCAAGAGGGATTTTTGTACGATCACTCCACATTTTTTTAATCCTATTTCAAAAATGTTCTGTAACTTTTTACTACAATTGAATATGCCAAAATGCAGACACGTTTTTAAAGCACTTTGGGCCCTGAAACCGAGGAAAAAATTAAATTGGCGAAAAATGAAGTTCGCTTTGACTTGTAACTTTCGAAAGGTGATTCGGGCGCTTGCATTCAGTGGTCATGATAAATTCAGCAATTCATTTTATTTCAAAATTCTCGGTATAGTTTGATAGCCAGCTCTATAAGCTTTAATTTGATATAGGGGTTTAGGTATCTACAGCTTAAACTGCATGCGCCACATCGCTTGCACGCGAGACACCCCTGAAGGTATACTGTAACCTTAAGTACTGACCCTTAAATCAATACTCTAGCTGTTTCAGACCTGGCAACATTTAAGAATGTTTTGTACACGCAATGTAAAGCTTGCAAGCGATGTTACCATTTCAGCCATTTCTTTATCAAGATAGATTAAATTAAAGTACCAAATTTCGCCAAGTACTGTATGTATTCTACTAGTTTTCTCAAATATTTTTCTCTATGCTGATTTATTGTCTGATATTTTGTTGCGTGCGTTATCTGTAGTTGCCAACCGCCAAATGTATGATTAAAATAACATCTGCTTAAAATGCTCGTTTGCAGCCTGATATGTATTTTCAATTGCAGTAACTGATCTTAGAGAATTAGACCCACAGGCAAACATTTCTGGATCAATGTTGGAGATAATGATCATGGTGTGAAAGGTCAAAATGTCAGGCAATTAGCTTATAATAAGTGCCTAGTCTTCAAGATGCTCTCAATTTTTGTGTTTTATAATTTTATTTTTTGTTTTGCCCATGCTAGATTTGCAATAAAAACTTAGATTAAGGGATACTTTTAACCAGGAAAATTGTTTTGACAGGTACACGTAAACTATATACCACAAAATTGGTCCACAAAATTGAACTAAATTTTGACATGACTCAACATCGTTGAAGCATATAATTTTGAAAATTTGATGGAAAGTCAGGTTTAAATTACATACAAATCTGACAGTGCTGAATAGCTGCTAAAAGATGATATTTTAGTACTGTGGGTTAGCTTTTCTAGCCACACTTATTATTTTGGCTTGCTAGCATTTATAAAAAGTGTAATTTTAGGGTTGCGATTTGCTTTTTGCAGCAATAAATGTGTATGTGTAAGGCTGTCTCAACAAGAAAATAATATTAAAACAACCTAAAAGTTACAGTTTTGAAACAAGTTACTGAAAACCTCCTTCCTGGCAAAGTTTGAGAAAATCATTTTTTTTTCTATCCTGCATAAGGTATAAGTGATTGTTACAGCAAGCTGCTCTTGATATCTGGTCACGAACACCCAATTTTGGATCTCATTGGTGACCAGAGAATCGCTATTTTGAGCCCTGAAATCATTACAATAAGCAGATATTTAGTAATTAGTACATTAACACAATGGAACATGTAAATTAAAATCACAACAAGCTAAAACTATTTGACTTTCTTCTAAGTAAATCCCTCCTCTTTGAACAGTGTCAAAGGATATGTAGATTTGAAAGATTTCCATGAAACTTAAGGGGACAGTGCAATGAATTGTGCATGTGGTAAGTTTGGTTTACTACTTAAAAAGTTTAGGCTGAATTTTTCAAGTTTGTTTGACAAATTCAAAATGGTGATGAGTAATGGAACAAGTGGAAACTAGCCATGGTGTGTGAACAAGAGGCAACTGCAATCAGGGAGAGGTGTTTGATGAATATGCGAAAAGAAGAGTAAATCTTTATAGGCTTTGTGTCCAGCTGTCAGTCTTGAAAATATTGCAGAGTTCTCTGTAAGCTCCGGCGACCAGCGAAATTCACTGTCTAGTCGTCCTTGGCGTGCCGGCTACTCAAAGTAAATAAATTATGAAAAAAAAATTATTTGTAACAATGTGAATGTGAGCCTATCCGTCTATAAAATTAAGCATTAAAAACAATATGTCTAATTTTCTGAACAAATACGTAGCGTTTAAAAAATACAACTCTTATAGCTGTTAGATAAAAGAAATCTGAAATCATTCGGGCTGTGAGAATTGCCGCCAAAAACATGACGTGGGCACTGAGCCGTGACAGCAGCACTTAATATTTGACAGCCGGGGTTAAGTTAAAGCTCAGTTTTTCCTCTGATAATGAAGCGAAAAACCCAGCAATTGCTGTTCAGTACGTGGGATAAATCGAAAAGAAAATAAAGATGGCACAAATGAAGGTCATAAGTTGTTTTCTTTCAAAAATATGATTAAAATTAGTTCTTTTATCTCCAGTGAATGTATGCGTAATTTAATTAGTTCTTTAAACACAACGACATGCAACCCNACAATCTTTAAACTAGGCAGCTGTAAGATGTTTGTGTAAATATTGAAAGTGAGATATAAAACAGGCAAGCTTAGCGAGCAGGGAAGTATGGATAAATACATGCACTATTTCAAGGCTTCACTATAAAGCGAAACATTTGTAAAATATGCCAAGTTTAAGTTTAATTGTATTAATTTTATCACTTTTGAAATCATGAATGAAAAACCCAAACTACCGCAAAGGTTCAAAGCGTTGATGATGGCCCGCACGCTTAGTCAGAAAAAATTCTGAGCTTAAATCCGCAGGAAAATCCACAGTATTACAGGCTTCTGCTTGCAACGGTTACCAATCTCAAGCTTCATCACGTTCAATGAATTCCACCCCTAGCACTGTGTTAAAGCCACTCAAAACTTGTGTTGTAACAAAATAAATGTCAAACCTCAATCTAGCGCCTTCAATGCCAGCAAAACTCTTTTCTCGTGTGGCTTTCTCATCTGTTTTTACATGCGTGATGACCACAAAATGAGAACGTTTTTGACGTTTTTGATATTTTTTTCGAATTTGATACAGATGACGATGATTAACCTCTTCAACTAACACATTATATTACATGTATGTTTTTCTCAGTGAAATTGCTTTTCTTTGAGAAAAGAACAAAACCATGATTGCAATACATGCACTTTTTAGAACCCCAATTTCAAAATTTTCCCAGGGAGGTTCCCGGACCCCCCAATAAAAGGTTGCGGTCGCTACCTCCCNTTGTGAGTGAAAACTTGGATCAATCTCTCACTGCTGATATGTACAGGGTTTGTATGGGTCCTGGAATTTTGTTGTGGCATTTTCCAGGACTGGAAAGTCCTGGAAAAAGGCTACTGGTCCTGGCTAGTTCTGG